CATCTCAGTCTGGTCTTTACAAAGTCTTTAGGGACCACCAACAGTCTCAGTCCATTTGCCATAAATGTCAAACCTGTTGTCAGAAACCTGGGTGTCCTTTTCGACTCAGACCTCAGCTTCACCGCTGATATCAATCAAATCATCCAGTCGTGTTTCCTCCAGCTAAGAACAATCTCCAAAATCAAACCAGTCCTCCCTCAGTCAGACCTTGAAGGAATCATCCATGCCCTCATCTTGTCCCGTCTTGATTACTGCAACTCCCTCTTATCTGGCATCTCACAAAAATCCATCTCTCTCGTTCAACTTGTGCAGAATGCAGCAGCTGCGCTTATTACTGGTTTTAACAGGTGACATCACATCTACCTCTACTGGCTTCTCTCCACTGGCTCCCTGTCCGTTTTAGAATTGATTTTAAGATTTTACTGATCACTTTTAAAGCTAGCCAGGGCCTTGCCTCGGCTATATTTTAGATATGTTAACCCCATATATCCCCACACACAGCCTTAGATCCTAAGGTGGGTTCCTCCTGATCGTCCCAAAGTCGAGGCTCAAATCCAAAGGCGACCGGGCCTTTTCTGTGAGCGACCTACCTGAGGAAATAAGGCTCACAGATTCATTATCTTCATTTAAATCACTTCTTAAAACCCACTTTCATAGACTTGCTTTTGAGTGATGTTCTCTTTTATTTCTCTTTTAGATTTTCACCTGTTTCTTTTGCCGTTTATATCGGTACTGCCTGCTATCTGTCTCTCTCTTTTCTCTTTCTTAATCTACTTTTGTCTTAACTCCCCTCTGTGATGTCGACTTTTTATTCAGTTTTAATTAGAACACACCTTCCAATAGTGACCCAGCCTGTTCTTTTCCATTTTTAATGTGTGTATTTTTATATTTTGAGTGTTTGCCTGCACTTTTTATACACGTTGTTGATTTCCTGTGTTGCCTTGTCTCAGCATGTGTTGTATTACTTTATTATGTAAAAGCACTTTGTGAACTTTGTTCTTAAAAGGTGCTATACAAATAAAGTTTATTATCATTATTATTATTTATACAGGAGACAGTTGACCTTTGTTTGTACTGGAAATAATCTATATTTCTCTTCTTGTCAGTTATGTGCAGATCTACACCAA